TATTTTATTCTTATGATTATATATCCTTATTTTCCTTACCAAAAAAAAATTGTCGGGAGCCCAGACATTTGTTGTTTAGTCTTTCTTATCATGAAGAGCAATGACAATTCCTTTGCATTTCGAGATGTTAGCATCTCATTTCTTAGACATTTCCTTCTAAATTTGAATTTGCATTGGCTGCTGTTTTGACTTGTAAATGAAGCTAGAAATGTGTCACCTCTAGATAATTGTCTGTTTTTGTTGTGGAAGGAGACAGTGAGTGAATCTTTTAAAGTGTTGATCAGATAGACTTTAAAAACCGACAGTGAGCTTTAAAGTTTGTGCCTTGTATTCCATATATAACATCAGGGCGATTTTCATGTAGCGCCCAGTGCCATAGGGAATTCAGGGGGAAAAAAAGACTACGAAACGAAAATGGGAGAAAAGAAACTTTTTTAAAATGTCAATAACGGAGAATAATAGAATGAGAAGTCTAGTTGTTACTTAGTTGTCAAGAAATGAGACGCATTGTAGTTAGATTGTTGTTTTTGATTTTCATTAAGTTTTTTTTTTTACAGTTGTACAGTTTAGAATGCCACTTGACTTTACAATTTTATCAGATCTGTGTGGCATCCATTCAATTTGGAATGACTGTATTTACAATTATAACACCTGATTGTGTTTTAATGTTAAGATTTTGTTTAAAAAAATCTTCTTTGAGTCACATTCTTTCATGACATTTGGGGCTAAACTTATTTTCTTTTAAAACATTTTTTTGTGTGGATTGAATTGGACAATTTTTATCACCTTAATCTTATTAGATTTTTAGTAGTGCTTTGAGAATATGATCATTTTATTCACACACACACACACACAGCTCAGTTTGGATTGTTGTAGGCTGTATTTTTGTATTGTTGCAAAGAATAACTTAAAATTTGATCTTGTATTTGATACACTTTATACATAGCTGTATAAGCTAGGGTCATTGCCTGTTAGTGGATACAATGCACTAGAGTGGATTAGGAAAGTATAAGAGTTTTCTTGGGATTGTAGAATTGTGAATTAGAAACTGCTGACTGTACCTTATTGTACTGTATTGTGTTGAGAACGCTTATGAACACACACACACACACACTTTTGTTATTGCAATGCACAGAACAGCTCAGTTTTCTACTCCTTGAAGATCATCATTCAATGTCAAAGTTACTGAGGAGACCAAGAGGTCCTTGTATTCATTTGAAAGTTGGTCATTGTGCTGGAATTGTCCATATCAGCTCTATGTGTCTCAGTCATACAACATTTGAAAACAAATTTACCACTTTAGTTGTTTTTGTGTTTTCATTTATCCAGTCCCTTTTACATTCCTCAGAATTATATTTTACAATGAGTTACCCCCCTTTTTCAATTTCTTTTGTTTTGATTCCTCCCATTATTAGGTCTGTAGTCTCCCCTCTTTCAATTTCACATGTTTTGATTCCTCCCATTATTAGGTCTGTAGTCTCCACTCTTTCAATTTCTTATTTTTTGATTCCTTCCATTTTTAGGTCTGTAGTCTACCCTGTAATAATAGTGCTGTGAATGCAAATTTAAGCGTTTCACTCATTAAGTTATTAATCATAGCATTTTGTAAAAACACTTTTTTTTAAACCTGTTTCTTTTCTATGATCTCTGACTGACTCTTACACCTAATTTGACCTGTTCTCTCTTTTTTTTTAACCCATGAAACGTGATTTTATTTTGTACCTTTTTTAAATTTGTATTTTGCACATTCTCAACTTTTCAACATTTCTCTATGAATAGGATCTTGGACAGAAATGTGTGTGTTTTGTTTCATTTCTTTTCTGTATTCTAGCTCTGAACTCTCCACATGACATCTCTGATTGTACTATTGCAGCATCCTTTTCTACAGTTAGATGCCTTGTTGTTTTCAGACTTGGTCTTCCTTGACATTTTCTATTTAGACAAGTTATGATTCAAGATGAGTCACTTGGTGGTCCGCATTCTCACACCTGTTGTACATTCTTCTGAATTGGATAAAAATATTTCATATTGAGTGCTGATCCATGCTCTTTCTTTTAAAGGAGAGGTTGTGTTTATAAAATTGTCCATAATGATAAACACAAAATTCAAACCTGGACAATGTGTTTTTTGGTTTTATTATTCTTTCTTTATTTTTATAGTAATTTCAAACTTTTTTTTTTTATTTAATCTAAATTTCAACTCTTCCTGTGGGCCTGTCTGGGTCATGGGTCACCAACTAGTGTCCTCCTGGTGTGTCGGTTTTGGGATGGTCTTTCCAACTGTCCCCACTTCTTGCCATCTGCGTGGCATCTGCATCCTAATCTTGATGCCATGGATTTCTGGCCATATTTTAATATATGGTTTGTTTGTTTTATTATAATTTGAATTGAAGGTACTGGGGTTCAAGTCTTGATAAGTCAATTAATATTTTTTCTCCATTGTTTTTAAAGTACTTGTTGTTTACCCTGCGCTATACATTTGTTTGATGATTTTCTACATTATTAGAGTGTAATTTAAATAAAAAGTCTCTCAGATACTGTCATTCTTGTCCTGAAATGTTTCTCTATGGCGACCTGCCAGGGTTATCTTCTAGTAGCATGATTGTATTTAAAACTCTCCTACATTCTATTAAAGCTCAATTTGATGATCTAACATAATTACAGCGTGTATTTTTCATTTATTCACATTACCAATTTGATCTCATCCGTTCTCATAAATACGACTGTCAAGATGAACAGGGTACCTACTTTATATAGGTTAGTGTCTGATTCAGATCTATTCTCACAGTGTTTTTTGTATCCCTTTTAAAAAGTGCCCTTTTTTTAATTTTATTATTTACTTGATTTTTTTTCTGTGATGATTCAATTTGTATTCCATATTCATGCCAATCAGTGTGACCCACTGGAATATTTTTGTTTTAAAGCACAAAAATAAAAATTAATTTGGTACATCATGTCAATAATTTTTATTTACAATATAAACTTGTAGTATCATGAAATGAGAATGTTTTGCTTTCCTGACATCCCTCTAGGGTTTTTGTTTAGGGAGTTTTCACTTGATGTTAGTAGTTAGACTTTCACTATGGTTCCTTTTGATTTAAATCAGGTGTTAAAGTTTTTGAATAATCTGTGCTTTATTTAGTAAGAATATTATGGCTAGTCTTATTGTCTGCAGATTAAGAAGGAGTGTAGTAGCCCACTTTGCTACCCTGACCAATATTTACATCCTTAACATATTACCTTCCCCTATTTGCCTGTCCATATCATAGACATTTTGAATGAGTTTTTATTTTTAAAAAAAATCAAATAAAAGCTACTACAAATTTGGGGGAAAAAAAAGAAATAATTACAAAGATAAGCAAAAAAATGTTTCATAGGCCTTAAACATTTAGAAGAAAATTTGAGTATTTAATTTTGTATTTTACTGGTCTGTATTTGTTTTGACTTATGTTGAGTTAGGTCTTAGACCTTGTTGAAAAGAGACCAGTTTTGTGGTTTCAGATAATTCAACTAGTTACTAGCAATGCACATCTTGAAGTCAATAGTTTATAGGCAGAAGCCTTGTGTTAGAGGTGTCTGAGGATATTTTGAACTCGTGGTCAATGTTGAGGTGATTAGTGCTAATAGAGCGGCTTTGATAGTGTGTGTGTCTGTGGGTAGCATCACATTGTGAGGACCACTGGATCACTTCTAGAGTGATATTAGTGTTATTAGCTTTCATTAACAATTGTGGCCAAAGATTGCTTTCAGTATACCTTGCCTTTCATTTAGCCCATCAACAACACAGAAGAGGTGATAACTGATTTGAATGGAACTGTCTCCCAAGATCACTTATTTTATATACTTCTTAATGCCTTTGTTGTAAATGACAATTTTTTTTCTTTTTAATTTTTTTTTTGTTTTTTTGATTGATTGTTCTGTGTATATTTGACGGCTATTTATTTCTTTTTATAAACTATTTTATGAACAAGCCATTGTTATTTGGGCTTATTGTGTATTGTGTCGTTTAAACATGTTGTGTACTACATATAGAAGTGGTGGATGAGGAAGTAGGTCATTTGTTTTTCAGAATGTTTTTTTTAAATTGTATTTTTGTGTAGTGGCTAATGATCAACTGTTATCACTGAGGGTTTAGGCTGCAGACATCTACATTTTGGCTTACAAAAGCTGTGACATCTTTGCAAGCTGATGTCACTGGTAGTCTGGCACTGGTGATTCTGTCACGCTATGGCTATTGCAGATTGCTAGGTCATGTTCAGTGGTCACAGGAGCTGTCTGTGTTTGCCATGTCATGTCTCAGCTTCTGGCACACTCTAACTGTGCCAATTCATGCCACAGCTGCTGGCTAAATGTCTCCTTGTGTGTCTCAGCTGCTGGCTACATGTCTCCTGGTGTGTCTCAGCTGCTGGCTAAATGTCTCCTGTTGTGTCTCAGCTGCTGGCTAAATGCCCCTTGTGTTGTGACTTGGTGGCTCTCAAACCAATCAGGGGACTTGGCCTCCAGACCAATAAGATGACTATATATGTCTATGGCCTCCAAACCAACCAGGCGACTTTATATGTTAATATGACTATGGCCTCCAAACCAGTCAGGTGATTATGTATGACTATGTTGTTTCGACCTCCATTGCTTTATTAGATGTTTTCTTTATAATGTTGTTCATTAAATGTCAGCACTTGCAGTCTCCCTCTCCCTCAACACTTTTGACACAGTCCCAAATCTGCTTGTCTCATGAGGTGCTCAATCTGGTCAGGTTTCTTCTTAACTATGCATATAAGCCCAGATTTATTTTGTTATCATTTAGAAAAAGAACCTTTTATTTTTTTTGCATATTTATTATACATGTATAAATGTAATTATATACACTGTGTCCAGATAAAATTTTTTTTTTTAGTAGTGGTCATCTAATTATGTGACCAATCAACTGGCTATGCAATGTCAATATTTTTTTTTCTACACTTAATTAGTATTTTCAATAAATATATTCCAGATTTGATGTACACCCCCCCCCCCCCCTCAAATATAATTGTATTAAACTGTGTAGTGTTAAATTTTTGTATATGCCATCGAATTTTGATAAAAGAATTATAATTTACAGCCATATAAAACAATTGTTACCTTTACCTGATTCACTATGTCATGGTTTCTCAAAGCTATTCTACATAATGAACTGTTGGGTAGAAGAAAGTTTTACTGGAGAACCTTAAGACTCAAACAGCTTTAGTTCATTTTATCCTCACTTTTGGTTCCATACTTGGTAATGTGCCTTACAACAGCTGATCATTTTAGTGAAACACAAACCTTTTTTTTTTCATTTTTAAAATTTATGAATCACTTAGAAAACTTGAAAAGAAATGTCAGTTGAATCATCTTTTTATTTGTAACTGTCTTGTGTTGTAGGTGATGACATTCTTTCTCACCCTTGTTGACTGCAGTATTTTCATTTCTCTCCATGCCTTAGTGCACACATGTTTGAAACATTCATTCTATAGCCCATGACTTTGTAGAGAAAGAAGCTAGAGCGAATTGACATACAATTTGGCCAGATTTTGTTTTCCTTGAAATTGAAATATACCTACTATGCATGAGAAAGTTTTAGAAATCCTGCCATACATAGATTCTGTATTTTTCGTAATGACTTAAAAATTTAGATCAAATATAAAGTTGGGTTTTTTTGGTTTTGATATATAAAATTCTGGCACATAATTAGACCTTTGACCCTTGTTTAGCTCTTAACATGATTTGAAATAAAAGTATTTGTCCATATGATCATTTCCATTGTTTTTTTTTTTTTTCAAGTGTGTTGTATAAGTTTGTATTGGACTTAAAAATGCCCATTGTTTTTTCCTCTAGTAAGAGACTGTGGGTTAGTTTCAACTTAAAAGTACACATGGTGAAGATTCAAACAATCTTCCTTGGTTTCTCTTTACATAGTGTTCTTTTTTTTTTATTCTTTGATCAGAAGTCTTCCATCACAACTTACGTAGTCCTACACTGCACCGCCACTAAGTTTGAGAAGGTCACCAAAGCACCATGCTATTTCAATGAGGAAAGGCGTGGTGAATATCATGATAGGAAAAGGTTAGCGAGCCTTTCTTTCATCCCCTCCAGATGCAAAAGCAGTTCGCACACTGGAGATGGTGTTTCCTATTGGCCGTTTACTCTACTCATCTACTCAGGTAACCTTGGAGAAAACCCCATTACTGTAGAATCTACTCAGGCAACCTTAGAGAAAACCCCATTACAGTGGAATCTACTCAGGCAACCTTAGAGAAAACCCCATTACAGTAGAATCTACTCAGGCAACCTTGGAGAAAACCCCATTACAGTAGAATCTACTCAGGCAACCTTGGAGAAAACCCCATTACAGTAGAATCTACTCAGGCAACCTTGGAGAAAACCCCATTACAGTAGAATCTACTCAGGCAACCTTGGAGAAAACCCCATTACAGTAGAATCTACTCAGGCAACCTTAGAGAAAATTCCATTACAGTAGAATCTACTCAGGCAACCTTGGAGAAAACCCCATTACAGTAGAATCTACTCAGGCAACCTTAGAGAAAATTCCATTACAGTAGAATCTACTCAGGCAACCTTGGAGAAAACTCCATTACAGTGGAATCTACTCAGGCAACCTTAGAGAAAACTCCATTACAGTGGAATCTACTCAGGCAACTTTAGAGAAAACTCCATTACTGTAGAATCTACTCAGGCAACCTTAGAGAAAACCCCATTACAGTGGAATCTACTCAGGCAACCTTAGAGAAAACCCCATTACAGTAGAATCTACTCAGGCAACCTTGGAGAAAACCCCATTACAGTAGAATCTACTCAGGCAACCTTGGAGAAAACCCCATTACAGTAGATTCTACTCAGGCAACCTTAGAGAAATCCCCATTACAGTAGAATCAACGAGGCCAGAAAGAGTTGGTCGTTTCCTTGCATCAAGTTGGCCCTCTTTCAGTCCTTACGAATATGGTTCATTTCGTAGAACACTTTTTCATGTGACTGTGGAGCCCTATTTTAGAGATACATTTCCGCCCATATATATGCAGATTAAGGTGGCTTTCACTTTGGTGGTAGAGGAACCGGTCTTTTTTTCGTTTTGCACGCTTTTCTTCCAGAGCTGAGGCCCATATTTTTTTGCTGTCCATAGCTTTCTTGGTCACCATCTCTCTTCACATAGTGTGGTCTAGGGCTATGTCTTCACAGTAGTCAGCATCAATATTCACTGCCCGTAAGGAGGACTTATGGGACGCAATTGTCTTCCATCTGGCGAACATGGCCAAGCCAGCGCAGGAGTCGTTGCCTGAGGATTGGGAAGATGCTGGGAAGACCCGTTCGACCAAGTATATCAGTGTTTCACACTTTGTAAATTGTTTTACATGTTTCGAATGTTCCTTCAGAGTTGAAGATAGTTTACTTCCTAGTCCAAACCCCCGAAGGACGAGTGGGAATGGGAGCGTGCTGGGTATAAAACCGGGACCATCGATAAGTCCAAACGGCAGTCCAGCGAGCATACCGTAGGATCAGGCAGCCATCCATGCCATGTGATTTTCAAGATCCTTCGGAGCATGGGCGTAGCCGGGAAGGGGGGAGTTTAAGGTTCAACCCCCCCCCCCCCCAAATGAAATCACCCCCCCCTCTGGGGGGGGGGGGGGATCGGAATTTAGGGAATGATTTTTTGCTTTGATTTTGTTTATTTTAGGTGAGATTTTAATACTAAACCATCACTTGCCCCAGCGCAACCCAATGGGGTTTTGAGTTTAAAACCCCTACCAGGGGGTTTTGAGTTTAAACCCCCCCTACCAGGGGGTTTTGAGTTTAAAACCCCCTACCAGGGGGGTTCGAGTTTAAAAACCCCTACCAGGGGTTTTGAGTCTAAAACCTCCAACCAGGGGTTTTGAGTTTTAAACCTCCTACTTGGGGTTTTGCAGTTAAATCCCCTTCTTCTATAAAACAAAACAAAAAAAAATGCAAACGAAAATCCCCTAATTCCAAGAGCACAGTTAAGGGAGATTTTGATTTTAAAACCCCCCTCCAAAATTTACGATAAACCCCCTCTTCAATATAAAAAAAAGCTAATTACGCAATCAAAATGTTATGAGCGTAGCTAAATGGATTTTGACTTAGTTTTGACTTTAAACTCCACTTCAGAGGGGGTTTGAAGGTAAAAAAAATACCTCTTTAATAATAAAAACAAAGCAAATTATACACTCAAAATAGTATGAGTGTAGTCACAGGGGTTTTGAGTTTAAACTCCCCTCCAGTGGAGCTAAAAAGTAACTCTTCAATATAAATAAAAGCAAATTACTCACTCTAAAATCTATAAGCGTAGCCAAAGGGGTTTTGAGTTTAAACCCCCCGCCAGGAGGGTTTGAGGCTAAAAAATACATCTTCAGTTAAAGAAAAAAAGCAAATTACGCACTCAAAATGCTATGAGCGTTGCCAATAGGGTTTTGAGTTTAAACCCCCATTCAGATGGATTTGATGCTAAAAAATACCTCTTCAATATAAAAAAAAAAAAAGCAAATTACACACTAAAATTATTTGAGCGTAGTTAATCCAATCGGGGGTTTTGAGTTTAAACCCCTCTTCTACAGATGGCGTTTTTTAAAAGTTTAAAACCCCTCCAGATGGTTTTGAGTTTAAGATCCCCCTTACAGAGCATTTTGAGGTGGAAAACCCCTATGGGATGATCTTGACAATAAAACTTCGCTTTTCGATATAAAATCTAAAGCAAACTACAGCCACTTAATTCCAAGAGCGTATTCAAGAGAGATTACACATTTTTACCAGTGGCAGCGCTCCCTTAATAAAATGCAGTGAATAGTCATCTGCCGAAATTGAGAAACACTAAATGGGGCTCAACAAAGATGGCTAAGACAGATTTTAGGAGTCAGTTATAGAGATCGGGTTTAAATCAAGGAAATCTTTTGCCGAACTGGGAGTCGACCCTTTAGTAAGATTGTGAGAGCGACACATGAGGTTTGCGGGACATGTTCTCCTACAAAATGAATTACGCATAAGAAGAGTTGCAATGATATCCTAGTACAACTTGACGCCACTCATTTATTGAGGTCCTCATGGCAGGTGGGAAGAGGCTTCAGACATTACCAGTGACAGATTTTTATGGAAACAGCTTGACGTCAAATGCTCCGAACGGCGCGGGAGGGTCTAAGCCAGTAAGAATAGCACATTAGGTTTTTGAAATAAAACTTTTTTAATAGCTGGAAAATGCACTGTAGATACCTCAGAATATGCATTTTGTTGGCTTTCAAAACCAGAAATAGTGTTTGGCGGCGGTGCTTCGCCCGCGCTTCAGTCCCCCTACTAGTAATTGCGGGGAATCTACAATTTTCCCACTAACTCACGGAAGAACCTATTCTAGGGCACAATAAACGTCTTCCGAAAGAATGAAGGGTCAGAATGCAATAAAGATTGTGTACACACACACACACATAGATACATATAAAAAAAAATTTCGTCGGGGGAAGGGGGGAAATACACCCCCCCCCCCCGAAAAAAAAATCCTGGCTACGCCTTAGACCCTCCGGTTATTCGGAGGCAGCACAATGGGAATGAATTTAGCTTTCTTTCTTCATAGGCAATAGATAGTCCATGACTTACTGCCGTACAACAGTGTGCTCACAACACACGCTATGTGCACCTCCATTTCGGTGAGTGAGTTTCTGGTTTTCACAAACTCTTGGTCTGAGTCTAGCAAAGGTCAATAGTCTTTCTAATGCGTTTTTTAAAATCTCTTTTAAAGACGGGTCATCTCGAATTGTGGATCCAAGGTAGCAGAATTCATTTACGGCTTCTAGGTTATTTTTATCAATGAGGATGGAAGGTGATGCTGTAGCAGGTGGTCCCATAACATTTGTTTTCTTCGTGCTAATGGTTAAGACAGGGAGGAATGGAGAAAGACGGTCAACAAATGTTGCTTGGTGCCCCAACGGTCCAACAGACTAAGGGATAAGTAAAGATAAATGGTTAACCCATACCCTTATGAGAGAAGCGGGACATAGGTTACTAATGCTCCTCTTGTGTGTATGCCACGAATACTGCATCTTCCGAGAATAGCAAATCTCTTACAAGGGTGGTTCTGATTTTCGTTTTGGCCATCAGTTTGGCATTATTTAGAAGTTTGTCATCAAATCTGAAATGGGGATGGATGCCTTCGCTGGATTTGTAAAAACGCGTGATGGATTAACAATGAAAAGAAGGTTGGTGCCAGGACACATCCTTTTTATAGCACGCTGTTTACTTTAAACTTTCGGATAGGGCACCTTTGAAGGAAAGAAATGACAGTTAGCAGTTTGTGTAAACAGCTTATTATTATTTAAAGATGCCTTTTCTGCTGACTAGTTCAGTCCTGGTAAGACAAGTATTTGTTAAGCTTACCAGGTCCTATCACAATGCAGACTGCGACACATCACTCTTTGGTATGTCGTAAGATAAACCTTCTGGCTAAAAAAAAAATCCACCACACCAAACATTTTGGGACTCCCTCATTTCAATGTAAGATTTGTCATCATGATCTCCAGATAATTTGGTGAATAGTTTAAACATCGAAAAAATAAAATAAAAATAATAATAAAACAAGGTTACAAAGACAGTTTGTTTGGAAACACAAATTCAAACTCGGCCCTCAAAGTGGTCCACCTAGGCAAGTACAAAAGGCAGGTTTCAATATTTTCAGAAAGAATATCAGAATGAAATTCTATCAAAGGAAAATGACAGAAGAATGGACAAAAAAGGTTGACAGA